ACAGAAAGCACAGGTAAACTGATAAGCAAGTGGCATGTATAGAAAACTCTTTGATATTATAGAATTTTCGTTATTATTATGATGGTGGTGCAGTTGTGTTATAATATTAAATAATATTAAAATTGAATTTTTAATTTTTTTTCAGGACATGTGTTGATAATGAGTGTCCTCACACCTCGAACAGTGGTCAAAAGGAAAATACAAAGAAATCTGGTTTTGGAGTTGATCTGGTGAATTTATTAGAGGTAATTGATTGGTTGGTTGGTTGATTGGCTGATTCGTTGGTTGGTTGGTTGGTTGGTTGGTTGGTTGATTGGCTGATTCGTTGGTTGGTTGGTTGGTTGGTTGGTTGGTTGATTGGCTGATTCGTTGGTTGGTTGGTTGGTTGGTTGAGTGATTGGCTGTTTGATTTGTAGATTAGTCGGTTGAATGACTGATTGGTTGATTGATTTTTTGATTGACTACATGATTGATTGATTTGTTGATTGATTGGCTGATTGATTGATTGATTGATTGACTGATTGATTGATTGATAACATGATTGATTGGTTGATTGATTTATCACACAATTGATTTGTTGGCTAATTGATTGATAGATTTGTTGATTGATTGATTGATTGGTAAACCAATTAGTTAATCATGAATCATTTGATTGGTTAAATCCAGAGAACAATCCAATTAATGGCAAACAAATCCAAAGACAAGTCATCACATAATACAAAACAGTCATGGCTGCTCTTCCAATACCACAGAAGACTAGCAACACTGGAGAAAGACAAGGACCCTGTTACAGTTACCACCCCAGAAAACATTTTAATAGAGCATGAAACTAAGATATTTACAGAGTAAGCCACAAACAAATACCAATATCATGAAATAACATCATAATTTTCTTGTATTTCCTATATTTTTTTATTAGCTTTGCCCCTAGTATGGACAGGGACACCGCAACAGCGTGAGCCAATTACTGCGGAMCMTGTACTCYCACACTCACTACCTCTACATTAAGTATTTTAGCACACWRCACTCCTCACATGTTGATTTTTACTGAGGGAGGAAAACCGGAGGACCTGGAGAAAAACCCTCATGGCAAGGGAGAGAACAACACATCAAACAAACCCAAACTCACATATGGTCTGTGCCCGGGAATTGAACCCGGAGCACAGTGGCGAGAAGCCAGCAGCTTAACCACTAGACCACCCATGCCACCTCTAAAAGTCTGTCTAATGTTTGATATTTTGTGGCAGGTTGATTATCCAGTTGCCAGTACATCTTGTGTTTAGTGACCATGGAGAAAAGATGTTAACTGGATCAGATATATCT